CAATTGCCATTAAAGTCGCTAGGCGCTATGGATGATCAGCATTCTGAGATACCGAAACTATGGGTTTAGGTGTAGAGCTGAATGGGAAATGGTTTGGGGTTTTTTCTCCCTGAGGAAGATTCAGATGAAAGCAAAACATGTTTGTCAACATTTTCAGTAGAAAATTTCAACCTTTCATCAAACCGAAAATCCCCAAAATGAACATATTCCGCCAAAAATTGATGGAAACTAAAAAAGTTTTGGTTTTCTGATGAGAAATTGAATTATTTTGTGGCGAGCAGACACTTTCTGCAAACATTTAAATGTAAGCAAAAACCCATTGTTCTGCTGGAAATTATTTGTGACCAGTCCTTCCTAGTGGGCCCACTTTTGAGGATACTGGCCATTATCTTTTATGGGTGAGCCAGGTTAAATCCACTTGAGCATGATGGGGGTGAAGGATTGATTGCAGTGCTCTCATGTTCATGTTTCACTGAGGAAAAAGAGAGAGACTGTGAGAAACAGAGCAGACAGGAGGGAATGAAAAACTCTAGTGCGGGGAAAGAAAGGTGGAAAAACACAGCAGAGCGTAGGTGGAGTGAGAAATGAATACAGAGAAGATGGAGACTAGGAAGGGAAAGAATCTAGTGCAAAGAAGTTTCACAACGTTGTGCCTGACAATAGACCTCAGGCCGATAGTAATGAGACATACTTTACAGTAGAGCTGGGTGGAAAATGTTTTTTTTTTTTTTTTTCTACAGAAAATTCTGACAAAAATTATTTAAAAAATATTTGTCGTCAAAGATTTTAGCAGAAAATGTTGACTTTTTCTCAGAAAACCAAAACCCTGAAAATTTGGTTTTCAGCCAGTGTTTTTCCTGTTTTGGGCTGAAAACAAACAAACGAAAAAAGTCCTCAGAGAAAATCTTTTTGACTTTTGGCCAACAACTTTCAATTTTTGGTTTTCTGATTTAAAACCAATTAAAAATGTCTAGGAAAACAGACCCTTCACATGCACCCTTTCGTTTTGTTGAAAACAGAGTTTTCCACTGGAAAAAGTTTTGAGTTACAATTTTAGACCAGCCCTATTTTACCCATTTTTTTTTTTTTTTTGAGCGTGTGGAAAATATATCACTGAAACTTTTTTTTCAAAGCAAATTGGCCTTTTGACAAAATAAAACTTTGTGTGCAAAAATGTTCATTTCTTTTGAAAATGTTGGGGCTTTCATTGAAACCCGCCCAAAAATCAGCGGAAATTTTTGATTTGTTCATTGAAATTTTTGATTTTGTTGAGATTTTTCACAGGAAAAACTCGTTTCCTAACCAGCTGTTCTAGTGCCTTTGCTTTTCAAACAAGGCTTTTTGATCTGTGGTTTGGTTGAGACTCAACTAATTGTAAGGAGACGAGGAAGGCATTATAATCACAATATTGCCAGGATGGGCAGAGTTGGTGTCCCTAGCCTCTGTTTGCCAGAAGCTGAGAATGGGTGACAGAGGATGGACCACTTGATGATTACCTGTTCTGTTCATTCCCTCTGGGGCACCTGGCATTGGCCATTGTCGGAAGACAGGATACTGGGCTAGATGGACCCTTGGTCTGACCCAGTATGGCCGTTCTTATGTTCTTATGGCTACCCTGTGCATTCCAAAATCATGGATCAGGCCTAGAAAATAACGAGATTGGCATAAAACTCAGGATGGTTTCTAAAAATAAAAGATGTTTCTTTTTCTTTGCCTTCCGCTTTCGGAGCCTTTAGGTGCATTCGCGTCACATTTTCAAGTTTTTCTGCCCAAGCATGTGGGTTAGACTCTTTCTATTTTTTTTCCAAAGGAATGCTGAGATTCTTATCTAAGAACATGTCTCCAGGAGTTGGGGATTGAAATAAAACACCAAATTTCACAAGACTCAAAATGAAATTGCAAAATCCGTAATGCTCTTAAGCGTCCAAAGCCTACGAAAATCCCCGGAACGATTCCTGTTGATTTTCATGTGCTTTGAATCAGGTCTTTATGCTAGAATCTCATTTGCTCCTGACTTCAGTTGTAGACATTGCAATCGGGATCTGCAGTGAAAGGAGTCGAGACACCAACGAATCTGCCGTGGGCGTGGAGTGGGAGACGGGTTCCCCTGATCAAAACTGTTAGTCTCAACGGGCTTGTCTCTGAGATGTCTATGGAGAGATCTCCAGAGAGATCTGGAATAAATTGCCTAGGGAGCTTGTGGAATCTCCATCTCTGGAGATATTTAAGAGAAGGTTAGATAAATGTCTATCAGGGATGGTTTAGACAGTATTTGGTCCTGCCATGCGGGCAGGGGACTGGACTCGATGACCTCTCGAGGTCCCTTCCAGTCCTAGAATCTATGAATCTGTTAGGGTCCCAGAGATCATGCAGCTATAACAAAGCCCATGTCGCATGGCAAGGTTCCTAGGATCTGCAGTACAATACTGAACAGGCCACTTCTGCAGCAGCTTCTGTTTGGCATGGCCTAGCCTGAACAGCTTCCAAAAATGCGGTTTTTATCAACACTGGCCTGGACGTTACGTATATTCTGTCCCCGTACTGCGGTGCACACCATGTAACGTGTTTCTGCATGAGAAACCCCAGAAGACTGACACCTCCAAGGGTGGCTGCGATGTATGCTGCAAACCCAGGACAAACTGAGCTGCACTGTTTTTTCCCCTCCCCCGTCCCTTTCTCCTTTTTTTGTTATCATTCTTTCGAGGCTCAAGGAACAAACGCTGCAACTACATTCTACGGGCTCTACGTAGTTTCTATGTTTAGACTGAGAGCCAAGCAATCTCGTTCCTTCGGTTATAATCAGGGAAGTGAGTCTGCAGGAATGATTTTGTAACAACTCCCCCACCCCACAGGGGTCGTGTCGTCAGCTGCGGCTGCACCAAAGCACTGGGCAAGAGGATAATCCGTTAGTTAAAGGAGTAACTCCGCAAACTGACAGAAGTCGTAGGCTGTTATCCTCCCGTATGGGTTAACATCCGGGATGCATTGCAGCGGTTTAGATCTTTATGTCCCATGGATGCTCACCTCAGATGTTCTCATTTTACCAAGTCAAAGGGAATTGCACTGAGTTTGTCTGCGATTTCAATGGAATTACACCTCTTTATGGTGAGGATGGGTTTGCACTGTTTCTTGTAAGCTGCACATGTACCTCTCTAGTTCCCCTCTATGGCTGATCGAAGGACAGGGTGACCAGACGTCCCAATATTACCGGGACTGTCCTGATATTAGGGGCTTTGTCTTTTATGCAACTATGTCCCCCCACCCCCAAGAAAAAAAGTGTCCTGATTTTTCCCACTTGTTCTTTGTGACCCTATCCAAGGATGACATGGGTCTGTTAGACCCACTAGCTACAAGACTGTCTTTTGAGGTCAAGCGGAATTTCACTCTGGAGAGCTCCGTTCAAGTAGCAGGCACACCCCCACTGGTGTAACCGCTGTACTCTAGCTCAGCTGTAGAGATTGAACTGGGGGACTTCATTCTGGAGCTGAAAGCTTTCGTCTCTGGAGCTCACACTAAAGAGCTCTGACAGATGTTGCTCCTCTGTGGATCGGGCCCAGAGTGGAAGGTATAACACGCGTAGCCCAGCACTGCAAGCTCGACCTGCAATCTGAAAATCAGGATGTGATCCGTCTCTTACACCATTATCAGAGTGATGATTTTATGCATTAAGCATGGGGGGAGGAATAGCTCAGCGGTTTGAGCATTGACCTGCTAAATCCAGGGTTGTAAGTTCAATCCTTGAGGGGGCCATTTAGGGATCTGAGGCAAAAATCTGTCTGGGGATTGGTTCTGCTCTGAGCAGGGGGTTGGACTAGATGACCTCCTGAGGTTCCTTCCAACCCTGATATTCTATGATTCTAACTGCCAAGGCAGAATAGAGTCCAGCTTACTCTCCCATAGCTGTTTTAGGGCTGCAGTGCTTGAGGAAGAGTCTCTTTAGCATCTCCAAATTCCCAGGAACATATTTTGTAAGCAGACCCAGATTTGTCCATGTGGGTACTTCTGTGAAACTGGCTAAAAACCACCTTGTGCAGTACACTGGCCTAATGCATGTGATCATGTCGCCCTCTAGTGGCTCACCCCACTCACTATAGCAGCCTATTTTCTTGTTCTTGGAGAAGGTCTCCTTTACTTCAAGTGGTAGAGGCCTGTTTTTCTATGCTGAGAGTCTTAGGGTCAATTCCTGATGATGACTGTGGTGTCAGTAAACAGGTAGTGTGTTACCTGTGCATCCATTGTGCATGTGGATCTAATGCTTGCATGCAGAGCTGGATGTTTGCTTGTGCAAGTGTCTTCCTGATTTACATGTGACAATGAGGACTTTGCACCCTCAATAGGTGCATGTTGTTTTCATGTGTAGCCTTGATGAGCCCAGTCCTGCATCCCTGGGATTCTTTACATTGACTTCAGTGGGCCTCCATGAACAGCGTGGCTTTGATGAAAAGAGAGGGCCTCAGTTTGCACCTCTCTAGGTAGTTTCACAGCCCTGATCACTCTACTACCGTGGTTTTCATCCTGTGGTCCGTGGGCCCCTGGGGGTCCACAGAATATGTCTCAGATTTCCAAAGGGGTCCGCCCCTCCATTTGAAATTTTCTAAGGGTCTGCAAATGAAAAAAGGTTGAAAACCACTGGTCTAGTCTCTGAGAGGCTCATAATCATTAGAGGGTTTTATCCTCACAACACCCTGTGAGGTAGGGAAGTATTATCCTCATTTGATAGAAGAGGCACAGGGTATATTAAGTAACTTGTCCAAGGCGCTAGAGACTACATGTAGCAGAGGCAGGACTCCTGAATCCCAAGCCAGGGGCTTAGCCACTTGGCCAGCCTGCCTTTTCTAAGGAAAGCCGTAACCCCCCCCCCCTGTTTTTCTGCTCTCTGCAGATAGCAAGGCACCGCTTGAGTATTTAGGACCAAGAGTGGAGAGTTTTAAAAATGTTTTATTTAACTCAGTCTTTCCACTCCCCTCCCCCCCTTTTTTTGTTTACTGTCATGCCAGCAGAGTTCTTTGATGACTACTCTGAGGGGCGAGAATGCGTCAACTGTGGAGCCATGTCCACCCCGCTCTGGAGGAGAGACGGCACGGGCCACTACCTGTGCAACGCATGCGGGCTCTACCACAAGATGAATGGCATCAACCGACCGCTGATCAAACCCCAGAGGCGGCTGGTAAGGAACGGCTTGTGCTGCTCGTGTGCAGCCTGCGCACAACTACACAATAGACTCCAGAACAGGAAACGCTCACTCAATCCAAGCTGTCCAGAGGCGCCTGGGCACGCTGCAGTGACGAGGCTTAGAATTCTAGGCAAAAGTTGGCAGATCATCTGGTGTTTCACGTCCTACCCTTGCTCTGTCTCTTCTCCTTTTCACCCAGCGGCCTCCGGGCGTCTCTCTGGGCCTCCAAAATAACATCCTGGCTTCAGCTGAGTTGTCTGTGCCTGCAACACTTGGTGATCTGTTGTACTGGCTGCATTGGCTCCTCAGTGAAGGTCCCATGGCAAATGGTGCAAAGGATTGTGGGACACATGGGAGAACCCAAGTGCCTGCCTGCTGCTCACAGCTGAGCAGAAGGCCAGCCCTTGGTTTTACAGGGTTCTACACAAAATAACATCTACAGAGCTCTGCTTCTGACCCCCAGCTCCCTTTCCACCTCCAGCCTCGTCTCCTCCACCTCTCTCTACATTTCTACGTACATGTGATGCCCACCCCATGGCTACCTCCTGCCTGCCTGTGACCTCCCTCAGCTTCTGGTGACCCCACCATCTCCATAGCCTCTGGTGGCTTCCTGTCTGAGCAAGCCAGGAGGTAGAACTGAAATGCTGGGGATGAGAAAAAGAGTGAGACAGTTTGGTGTCTCCCAGGGCCTATGGGACTGGAGTCAGGACAGAGCATGGATAGGGAATCAGGCAGGGGCTTCTGGCTGGTAGTTAGGTGAATCTATCTCTCTGTGTGTAGGTATTTATACCATGCCCATTCCCATGGGATCGCTGCACCTGTCTCTGGGGAAGGGCACCCTGCAGCTTCGTAGGGCACATCTGTTGGAGAGGAGGTGAAGAGAGAGGTTTGTGCCTGGCCCTGCTGGTGAGAAACCACCCATCCCCACACTGGTGCAGCTGGTGTGGATGCTCTATGCCCTGGGGAACGGCCTGCTTAGCCCAAGCCTATTTATCCCCTGGACACCCAAGACTCTGCCACAATCCTCTAGCAGCAAGGAGCCAGCTGTAACATCCCCTCCCGCCTCCATGCCAGGAGGAGGGGGCGTTGTCCATGTGCGGTCTCCAACCCCACCTCCTCCCCTCTATCCCACGGGCCTGTCGCGCTCCAGCATGTTCAGAGAGACAGAAGGCAAAAATCATGCCACTGCCTGGGTTTCTTTGGCTTTGCCTTCTGTGGATGACGCTCAGCTGCCCATAAGCCGCTGGCTCTGGCGCCCTCTGCTGGCTAAAGTGCTTCATGGCGATGTGCTCCTGGTTTGTCCTCCCAAAGTCACTTGAGCTGTTTCGTGCTTTGCTAGGCCCCAGACTGGCTTAAAAGAGTGCTGGGGTTGTAAGGAACCGGTGTGCTTTGCGCCTGGCAGAGGTGCTCACTCAGCAGGCACAGATATCGGGAGCTGCTTGTTCCACTCGGAAACTGACTCTTCTCCAGGTTCGACGCAGCCTGAATTTGTTGCCGTTCTGGGCACGCTCCAAAGCTCCCCGGTGTTTGGAGAGGGCTGAGGTGGCCGGGATGGGGTTTCTTCAGCGAATTTGAGCGTGGGGGGAGATTTTGAATTGCTTTGTAATATGGTTTGGCCCCAAATCCCCATTTGCTGCTTCCGTTCTGCCATATATTTTTAAGAGAGGACAAAGGAAGCTCAGCGCCTGGGACAGGTGCCCAGTGTGTGTGCCTAGGTAACCCTTTGAGTGTTGTGGGTCCCACTCTGGGCCCAGTCCACAGTGGCTGTGTGTCTGGTACAGCCCATGGCTGCAGTGAGTGATGCTTTAACTCAGGATGTCTCGCTTTCAGTCCCTGGTCTTGGTGAAGATGGTGGCTGGCGTACTTGTTCAGATAAAGAAGTTCAGTACAGAAAAGATGAGTGTTAAAAATCAACTGGCTCTGTAAAGCCATTCCCTCGTCTCCGTATGTGCTAGCTCAGACACTGCCACCTGATAACTGCCGATCTTTCCACAGTGACTGCGGGGTTTGTGTTTTGAACCAGTATAGAAACATCTCCCCAGGTGTTTGCAGGATCTCCTCCCCAGCGTGCAGACACATACAGGGTTTGCCTGCCTTGCATGTTCTCTCCAAGGCTCTCAATCCACTGACGGCTGTTAAGGAATGAAGCCAGGGTTTTCCAAAGGGGGTGGGGGCACATCCCAAAGGACTAGCGGGGCTGGGGTGCACAGGAGATGTCTACAATAAGGTGGGTGGGCCCCTGGTGAGGTTGCAGGGAGAGAGGACTGATTCCCGAAGGGGAGCTCAGCGTTCCAAACCTTGGGACATATTGAATTAAATGTCATCCCACCCTTGTGGGGCAGGTGTTCTGATCCTCATTTCACACGTAATGAAAGCAAGCCAGAGAGAGAGGACGTGATAACGCTGCAGATCACTGGGAGACGTGGGACTGGAATCCAGATTGCTGACTCCTTAAGGCAGTGCTGTCACCACTAGACTGGGGGGCATGGATCAGCGTTCACGTCGCACTCCCCGTCAGTACCCGGCCCGAGCCGGGGAAGCTAATGAGCCAAACCCTGGACCAAATTCAGTGATGAATCCTGGTAACGTGCCAACTGAGGCACGTTGCACATACGTTAAGAAGAAGACCACTAGACCACATGCATGTACACTAGTTAACTAAGCTGCTTTGCTCTACAACAGGGGTGGCCAACCTGAGCCTGAGAAGGAGCCAGAATTTACCAATGTACATTGCCAAAGAGCCACAGTAATACGTCAACAGCCCCCCATCAGCTCTCCTCCTCCCCTGCTCCCAGCGCCTCCCGCCCACCGGCAGCCCTGCCAATCAGCGCATCCCCCTCCCTCCCCGCACCTCTTGATCAGCTGTTTCGTGGTGTGCAGGAGGCTCTGCGGGGGGAGAAGGAGCGAGGGCATGGCAGGCTCAGGGGAGGTGGCGGGAAAGGGTGGAGTGGGGCCAGGCCCTGTGGCAGAGCCAGGGGCTGAGCAATGAGCACCTCCTGGTCCATTGGAAAGTTGGCACCTGTAGCTCCAGCCCTGGAGTCGGTGCCTGTACAAGGAGCCGCATATTAACTTCTGAAGAGCCGCATGTGGCTCCGGAGCCACAGATTGGCCACCCCTGCTCTACAAAATTGGGTGGAAACTTCAGGCCAATGGGCTTTCTTGTGTTTCAGTATTTCCCCCCTTCAAGTTCCACAAGAACAGTCGTTCTCATGTGGTTTCAGCACATCACTTTCCAGTCTCCCTGTGCCCCCCATTAATCAGGAAATGCAAAGGGCTGCGCTAAAATCTGAAATAAACAAAAACTCCACACAAATTTTCCCCGTCCTCTAAAAAGCGTTGATTCACCCTGCGCTTGAGAGGACAGGCTGGCTTTTATCGTACCTGCATCGATCCCTTCGTTTCTAAATTGACTTGCTGAAGCAGCAGCAGTTTGGATCTGGGTTTTGAACACCCTGCCGTCGGGGTGTGTTTGGCTCCCAGTCTTGGTTCCGCCCATTAGGTTCCTGATCCAGGTTTCAGTTTAGAACGCCCACCAAGTCTGGGTGTGTTCGGAGACACGGTTTTGTTCCAGGCCTATGTATAGCAAAGGAGGGTCAGCGCGTGAAGTGCACAGCAGTTGTACTAGGTCGGCGCCAGGTTCCCCGACCTTGATGCCAGTAAGCGCAAACAGGGCGGTAAACAAAGGGCGGCCATGTTGCCATCTGCAAAAAAGGCAAGACAAGGAAATGGCAGCCATATGGGCAAACCTGACAGGAACAGAAGATACTGTTTTGTGGGTTACAGACTCTGGGCAGTTAAAAAACAAAGCAAGAGTGAGAAGTAGGGGCTGGTTTCATAGCATTCTACGTGCTGACTATGACAGCCATTTTGTCTGACACACCAGGGATTGAACTGGGGACTTCCAGAGTTAAATACACAAGTAGCGACACCTTGAGCTAAAGCTCCATAAGCAGGCCTGTAACAGACACCCACCCTCTGTGGATCAGGCCCAGCGGGGGACCAGGAGCACATACTGACAGTTGCTTACATGATTTCATCAACATTTGTTCCAGAATGAGTCTTTCCTGGATTTTAAATATTGGTTTTTTGAAGGAAAATATGATTGAAAAACTCATATATGGACGCCTCTGCTTTGATCATTTATTTGATGTCAAAAGAGTGTCAGGAGCTGTACAGGTTAGAAGGCAAGAGCCCTGCCCAGGAGAGCTTACATTATACACCACTGACATCCGGGGGCCTTTGCCATTGACTTCTGTGGCAGCAGGATCGTGATTTCCTCACAGAGGAAATCCAGCCCAGGAGAAGCCTCCATCTTGTTTTGCCAGAGACTCTAATTGGCAGAATGCTTCAGCACTGGATTTCCCCCCCCCCCAATTAAAACAAAATCCAAATCCATCCATTCGGTTCTCCTGAGCAACCCTACAATAATAAAGCAATGTGAGCTGGCGGTGGATGGGCAGCAGGTCGGGGAGGAAGGAGAGTTAAGCTTCCAGAAAAGTTGTTATAAGAAACAGAGTAATGATGGCAGGACATCTCAACAATGTCCCTTTAAACACATGCAGGTAGGGATGGCCCCAAGCCAACCACCCAGGTCTAAACACCCTCTAATTTGGGGGGCGGTTGCGTTAGGATCCAGATCTTTATTTTCCATCTGGCCCCTCTTGCTGTGATGGAACAAACCAAAACCCTGGATCAAAAACGCCACCAAATTTCGTGGCACTCAAAACCTGGCTCCAGATTTGATAGCTTGGGCCCAGTTCCAGACTCGGCCTTTGTCACTTGAAGTTGGAAACAAATTAGATTTTTCTTCTTCGGCTTAGACCTTTGTCAAACCTGCCTTCACTTACAGAGAGGGTGCGAGTGTTGGTAGGAGGAGCCAGGAGCCCGTGGGTCTCTGCCCACTTGTGCCACTGACCCTGTTGGCTGGCTCGGCCCACTGTTGTCTGGCCAGAGCAGGAGGCAGTGCTTAGTGTGCTGCCTTAGGACCATGGCGGGGACTTAACGGTGACTGAGAGTCATGGTTCCGGGGGCAGGCACAAAGGGGGGGGACAAGCAGGGGCAGGCCCCCCCCAATAATCAGCAGGGGCACAGAACTCCTCTAGCTCCAGCGCTGGGGCGAGGATAGCGAGCTCCTCTGGCCGCGGGGGACACAGAACGTGCCCCCCCTGAAAGCCGTCAAATTTTTATTCCTGCGTACGCCCCTGCACGGCTCACTCCGGGGGAGAAGTAAGCCATGCCGGCCCGGTACCTGGTGTAGCTTGCTTCCTGCTCTGTGCCATCTCAGCTGGCTGGCATGTTGAGTGGGCGGGGCTGGAGCGAAGGCCCCACCCATTTGCCACTCCTGCCTGCCCACTCCCTGCCCACCTGCATGGAGGTGAATTAGCAGCTGCTCCCTCCCGCCCTGCCTTGCCCATGCAGGGTCTGGTGATGTGGGTCTTCTACGCAGGGGAGTACTATATTCTGTCACACTCTCTTTCTCACCCGCAGGGCTGCAGAACTGGGCTCATGGTTAAGCCCGGTGTGACTTTGGGGCAAGTCACTTTACCCCGCTGTGCCTTGGTTTATAAATCTGTAAAATGGGTACAAACCCACTGACCGTACTGCCAGGGGTGTTGTGACGCTGAATCCGTGTAATGTCTGTAAAGTGCACTGAGATTCTTCGGTGCTAGTTACTATCCATCTTACAAAATATTATCAGTACAGCCACAAACCCCTGCAACAGTTGCCATGTATCAGGGAAAGCTGGAAGGGGTCTGCTCCGACCTTGAAACGCTCATGCAAACAGTAAAGCTAGCGACTTGTTGACATTGCTGTTGCTTTTGTCTCTTGCTGCAGTCCGCCTCCCGCCGCGTTGGGCTCTCTTGTGCCAACTGTCATACCACCACGACCACGCTGTGGCGCAGAAACGCTGAAGGCGAGCCGGTCTGCAACGCCTGCGGACTGTACATGAAACTCCACGGGGTAATGACAATGAAACGCCGAGAACAAATAACACCTGACAGATGTGTAGTCAGGTTGCTTAATGCACTGCTGGAGGGCACTCAGCTAGTACGGTGATGAGGGTGGTACGAGAACCTATATAAAATAGAATAGACTCTTTACATTAGAGATGGACTGTGTTTACACTCACAGGATGTGAGACAGGGTTAGTTAAAGTGGTGCCAGGTGGGAATCTGCTTTATCTTACATGGTCTTACTCTCTTCTGTTGGCTGATCTCCCCTCTACAGCCCCAGGCTCCGGCCCCCCAACACATGAATCACACTCACACAAAATGATTTAGCAGGGTGATTTAGCAAGGTGTAACTTACCCAGCCGTTTATGCCCTCCGGGTGTAACAGACAAAGGTATAACATGATCCAATGGCTGGACGTTGAAGTTTACAAATGCAGACTAAAAATGAAGGGCCAGTTTTTAACCGTGAGGGGAATCAGCCATTGGAACAACTTACCCAGGGTTGGGGTGGATTCGCCATCAATGTCAATCTTTCAAACCAAACTGGATGTTTGTCTCAAAGACGTGCTCTTGTTCAAACAGGTATTAATTCGGGGAAGTCCTGTGGCCTGGCTTCTGTGGGAGGTCAGCCCAGATGATCACAATGGTTTTCTCTAGCCAGGGACGGCTCCAGGCACCAGCGCAGCAAGCGCGTGCCTGGGGTGGCAAGCCGCGGGGGGTGGCCTGCCGGTCGCCGTGAGGGCGGCAGTCAGACAGCCTTCGGCGGCATGCCTGTGGGTGGTCCGCCGGTCCCGCGGCTTCGGCGGCAATTCGGCGGCAGGTACGCCGAAGGCGCGGGACCGGCAGATCACCCGCAGAAACGCCGCCGAGGCCACCTGACTGCCGTGCTTGGGGCGGCAAAAAACATAGAGCTGCCCCTGTCTCTAGCCGTGGAGTCCGTGAATCTAAGGAAGTTGTATAATGTAATAACCCTTCTCTCGATCGTAGTCTCGTCATGATGACAGGAATTGGCTTTGTTTGAGAGGGTCCCCAACTCGTCCACCCCAAACTGCTAGGACCAGCCTGATGGCTAATAAGCCTGAAAGAGTCTGTTTGAATGAGATCTGGGCAAGTCACACAGTCCCCATGGCCGATCTGAACTTTTTAAGGTGTTACGGACCAGTTGCACAATCCTGCTCTCCACTGAAGTCAGGAACAAACTCCCTTCACAAACTCACTTCAGTGGTGCAGGATGAAGCTCTGTATTCCGAACGCCAGATGTGGACACAGATGTGTACAATGCCCAGGGAGTCTTAGTCCTGAACCACTGTATATCCACCTCTTGCTCCCCGCTCCAGATGAAGGCAAATTAGGGAAGACTGTCCCCGCTCTCCGTGGCTTGCAGGAATCAGAAGGTCAGGCTAGGTGGTCAGAGTGTGACCCCCTTCTGACCTTAAAATCTATGAATCTTCTCTGTGTCCAATGAGACACAGTGAAAACAAATGGCAAACCCTCACTGGCTGAACCGCAAACCCGAACCGCTCTTCCCATTGCTGTTCACAGGGGTGGGGGTTTGTTGGTTTTAGACACTAATTCATTTACACCGTTAATCATCTCCGTTCCCTGCGACTGTATGCTGTAGTGTTCATTTCCAGATGGGCCTAGGCCAAAGAGTAACATCTGGTCTCCACTTAAAATTAGGGCTGTGAAAAGTTTTTGCGCCCTCAGTGCCGTGGCTGGGTCAACTTAACCCCGGTGTAGACACAACTAGGTCGATGGAAGAATTCTTCCATTGTCCTAGCTAAAGCCTCCCAGAGAGGTGGATTAACTACACAGATGGAAACCCACCTTCTGTCAATGTAGGAGTGACCTTGTTGCCCCCCTGCCTCCAGTGAGAGAGAGAGTTGCTTGTGCTTAGCTGGGTGTCAGAGGACACCGCCAGTCTGGTAGCTATGCAAACAACCTCCTCTGGGCTCTGCCAGCCCTTACTTTGCCTTGCAGGTTAACAGTAGGTGCAGGCCAATCCCCGAGCCCCTTTGAAGCATCCCCTGTTGTAGCCAGCCCCTTCTCTGCTGAACGCTACAGAAATACCAGGTCTGCTGTGCCCAAGGGAACAGTATACACAGCAGCTTGTATCAGGATCAGCACCTAGCTTCATGTGACAGCACTTAGATATATTTATAGTGAAATCAAGGATAAGTTTATTGGCAAAGATTCAAGAGCTAGTGAGAGAGGAGAATGAAAACAAAAGGGTTCCATATAAAACAATATCACAACAGGCTTTATACAGACTAAGCTTAACTGGCTACCTCCTCTCTAAAAGAGTCTTATTTCTCCCAAAATCTGTTGCGGCATCTTCCAGCAAGGTGGGCAAAGATCCCGTTTTCAGGAATGTAAACGCGCTGTCCATTTACTTCCAGGGTGCAGGATAAAGGGGTGTCTTATTGCCTTCTCCTTATATCCCCAGAGTTCATTGTCTGTGCTCTGAGTCAGGATAAACCCCGTGGTTTATTCTCCTGTGTGCTGCTGTCCTCTTGATTTCAGGTGAATAAACATCTTGTGTCTGACAGAAAACCTGTTTGTCCAATCTGCCCTGACACAGACTTTAAAACCCATTTTCAGTATACACACCAGACTCCTTCCACCATATCTGATTGTGCCTTTCACAACGATATTAATGACCGGCGTGACCCTGGCTTTCATTTAAGACCTCACCTGATATTCTTTGGTGAACCAGAATGGACAGACCAGGATCAGAATTTTCTTGTAGCCCCCTTGCCAGTTGGAATTGAGGGGTTTTGGGGTCACAGATGTAACCAGCACCTGTGGCTGAAAGTCAAAGATAGACAAATTCAAGTTAGAAATAAGGCATAATTTTTAACGGTGTGGGTGGTTAACTAGTGGAACAAACTAGCAAGGGAAGTGGTAGATTCTCCATCTCTTGAAGTCTTCAGGAACAGCGGATGCCTTTCCAGAAGGTATACTCTAGGCCTGATCTGCATTTAAAGCTTACACTGGCATAGCTATGTTGCTCAGGGTGTGAACTCACCCCCTTCCTTCCCCCCACTGTAGATGCAGGGATGCTGTCAGAAGAGTACTTCTGTCAGCCAAGATAACTTTGTTCAGGGACGTGGTGTTCCTACCCTGGAAGAAAAACTTCTGTCGGCATATGCTGCATCTGAGCTATGTCAACATAGGCTTTGTAGTGTAGACATAGATTAGTCATGATAAAATTCTCTGGCCTGAGTTATACAGGAGGTCTGAGTAGAAGATCTGATAATCCTTTCTGCCTTTATAATTGGTGACTCAAAGCCCTGGATGCAAAAACGCTGTTATTTCCAAAAAAATTCAGATCCAGATCTGGAGCCAAACTTTGCAGCCAGGGCCTGTCTCTAGTCTCAATTCAATCACTGCCGGTCAGTAACTTTTGGCTTCATGTCTTTTTAGTTAAATCTACCGGTTACCTGAAATCCTAGGAGGCAGAGATGTAACCCCAGTATGTTAGGTTGTATTGCGTACATACTGAAAACAGCATGCTTTGCATTTGGGTTCCTAGGTCCCAAGGCCTTTAGCAATGAGAAAAGAGGGGATTCAAACGAGGAAACGTAAGCCGAAGAACCTTAACAAATCCAAGACACCAGCAGGTGAGCGTTAAACAAGACGGGTTTGTGGGTGTGTGTGCGCGTAGGAGGGGCATAGTATCAGAAACTCACCCTTTAGAACTAAATTAAGAATTCTGCCCTCTGAACCAGACATTCCCGGATTTAGCAAACAGGTAGCTGATCACCATTTGATTGCTGTTTGGTGACCTATGTGAAATGAGTGCTCTCAGTCCGGTTCCCAGTGAACAGGCACCCCCATCATCACTGGTACTAATTAGTACCTGTAATGTCCTGGTGACATCCCTTCCAGGTTCCCAACCAGGGCTATGGAACAACCACAGAAGCTACTTCCCCCAGAGAATCATTTGGAGGTTTTACACCAAGCCCCGTTTTATGCTGACACCGGACTTTGGGAGATTAGCTGCAGCGAAATTTTTTGCCATAAATGTTTTTCCCCCCCCCATTTTTGTCAAAATCTGAAATTTTCCCATCCTGCTCTGCCCTGCCAGGGATAAAGAGTATATGGAATGAGAGGCAGGAACACTGTCAGTGGGGGGACAAGGGTAATTTACCAAATGAGCAAATCTCCCAACATACTTTTCTTTTTCTCTCCAAACCTGGTTAAGATCTTTGAAAGTCTTTCAATGGGAGCAAAACCCTGCCTACGAACAGAGTTCTCTTTCCCCAAACCACAAATGCTTTGCTATGTTTTTTGTACTTAAAACTCCTTTGGTGGGAAGCCTGGTTTAACTGCTGTTTTCTCCTAGGACCATCCAGTAGTGAGAGTCTTACCCCCACCACCAGCTCCACCAGTAACACCAACACCACCGCCAACACCGAGGAAATGCGCCCCATAAAGACGGAACCGGGGCTTTCATCTCATTATGGGCACCCGAGCCCTATTTCTCAGGTAATGACGCAGGAAGAAAAGATCAAGAGATATGACAAAGATGTGAACTTTAATATAAGTAACTTGTGGAGAAAAGACACCCTCAGAACCTTCTCTGAAGGCAAACGACAGCCATTTTGCTCAACCCAAGGATCTGAAAGGTCACATGGGGCGAAATTTACTCCAGTGCAGAGTTCCCAGGGTTTGCATTTCACTCATGTCACCATGTGCTGTGAAATAATCTCACCCTCATCCCCCCAGCTTTTTAATTACACAGGATGGGTTTGAGCCTCAAGCTAGAGGCAGCCATCTTGCTGACAACTGAAGTTCCTTGTGACCCTGGCTATCTGACAGGGCAGCTGTGTGGGCCTCGCTGTGAAAACCAAAAGCACAGCAAACTGTGTGAATCCAGGCTAAATTTTGAAAAAATGCCCTGGGTCCCAGTGTGGGGGATTTTGTGGCTTTTATTCTAAATTTGCAACACTAAGGGCATTTTTACACTGGGAAATATACCAAAGTGGTGAAAGTAAATCGTAAACAGTACTCTAATTCTGGAATAGGAGTCCCCACATGGAGGCTTATACTAATTATTCTGGACTCGCTATTTGCATAAATATCCACGTATAGCCAAGCCCTTAGCTGTGCTCTTTGATTTTGACCTGAAACCAGGCAAAGTTTGGCAGTTTTGGCTTAGTTTCTCTACGAATTTGTGGGCTCGCTTAAACCTGAAACTCAGTGCAGTGAGCACAAGTCCACGTAAAACAAAACTGAAAAAAGTGAGCTGAACCACCTGGGAATTAAAATCACCAGAATCACTCAGCGCTACGCTATGTGACAGACTTGTAATGATAAGTTTATTTGCAGTATATTATTCAGCCACTAGATGTCTCTATGTGCCTTATACAGTTCCAGGCAGGGTGACGTCCCTGGGAAACAAGACAGACAAATCTGGAACCTGATCTGTGTGGAAGCCTGTTTGTTTGTAGCTGCTGTTGTTTCTTTTAATAAATGTTTCTTGGTTAAGAAGATATTTGATTCCCTATATCATAACAAGACTAATATTCGAGACTGAGTTAGTTTAGCTCCTGTTAAACTCATCCCAAAGAACGCCAATGTTTAAATAAAAGGTTCAGTGTAATATTTGAGCATTCTGACCGTAAAACCAATATTAAATAATACATCAAATAATATTAAATCATCATCATAAAAATGCATATGCTTACGGGCTTTGCTGGATTGATCCAGTGCTTGCGGTATCGAGCCCACAGTAATGTAGCACTGACTACGCTGTGGCATGAGCAAGCTATTAATCAAAGGGTAATTGGGGATCAAATCTTATACCTCCGGGTGTAAAATGGTCACCTGTAGAGGTCGGAAAAGAACTCGGGGCACTCTCTGCAGGGTTATAAATGGAGTGGGTTCAGAGGAAAAGGGAAACTGTTTTCCTCTGAAGCATCACAGATCAGGCATTGAAGCAGGATACCAGATTAAATGAACCGATGGTTTGATTCTTTTTTCAAATCTCATGTCTCTGCATGTGCGTATTAGTGTAACGTTAGACCTGTGGAAAGTGAAATGCTTTCTCTTTGCCGCGGCAGGGTCCTTGTTAGTTTGAAGTAATTAAAAAAAAAATCTTTTCACTTTTACATTGTTTGTAGGCATTCTCAGTCACCGCGATGTCTGGGCACGGATCTTCTATTCACCCCGCTATTTCAGCCCTGAAGCTTTCCCCACAGGGCTACCAATCAGCCATGAGCCAACCTCCACAGGCCAGCTCCAAACAGGACTCCTGGAATAGCCTGGTGTTAGCCGAAAGCCATGGAGACATCATAACTGCATAACCTCTTCCTCCTCCCATGGACTTCAGGCTCACCCGCATGAGATACAAAGACGCCACATAATAATCAAGCAAAAGCTGTTTGCTTTTTTCCCCCTCTCCTCGAGGGAAATATGATGGGATTCTGGAAGAACAATTCCATACGGCATTATAAAGAGGACTTCCAGGAACAGCTAATCCTAAATAAGCAGAGAAGACCCAGTTTCAGAATAACAGTGGCTGATCTGAATCTTTCCCTTTAAACAAACCAGATTGTAACCACTTTCTATGAAACAGCTAGAAACAAAGACAGGACTCAGGTGTTTTTTAAACTTCTGGCTTTGACATCTCGGACAGCGATGGCACGGAGACACTTTCTTCTTCTCACAATCCATTCATTTCCTGACCAGGTCAGCCCAGGAGAAAATGCCATCACCTTGTTATCGCCCAAAGGCAGAGATTTGATGACCTTCCATACAGTGAAGCCAGCTCCAGGACAATTTGTTGCGTAGACTTAATCTGACACAACTTTGGCTGCTTTCGTGGATTTTAATACCGTGATTCAGTTTAAGAAGAAAGAAGAACTCCGCTCACACATCTACCAAAACCTCCAAAGCTTTGTTTTCATGTTACCAAGGAGTCAGAGATCCGAACCATTGTACTTATTTAACAGGAACGATTTTATCTTTCCCAATTATGGGATCGTGTTTCCAAAAGGCTGAGCCTGGAGAAGGTCTCCGAGCCAGACCTAACGCTTCGGTGAAAGTCTTTGCGAGTTGCAGGGGAAGAGACCCAGAGAGTTTATGAAAAACATGGCGGAAAATGTTGGATTCTGCCCTTTGAGATAGCGAGGAGCCTGGCTCGAGGATCCCTAGAGCAGGGGAGCACTGTGATTGCCGCCGTAACATGGTGCTGCAATTGTGTATGACCCTGTGGCCTATCACAATTAATTATTTTACATTCTTTCTGATTTTGTCCGTTGCCATCGATAAATCTGATTTTCTTTTTTCCAAGGCAGTATCTGCCTTTTACCCCAAACGTGGACCTGTGTCCCTCACCCACGTCCAATCCAAGCCAATTAGCAATTCAGCTTTTCTAAAGGCATCACCTTTGTGATCATCCACTGTGTAACTGAACATCATAGGCAGGGAAAATCTCGTCGCCAGCTACGCATGAGCACACAGCTGTGATGTCCGTGGGACAAGCTTAATTACATGTATTTTTTAAATATGAAGAGACTAGTGTTGTCTCCCCACAAGGCCCAGAAGAGTGGCTGCCCCATGGAAGGCCAGCCCTATTTGTCTAGGCAGAGAACTTCTTGGGGCCCTTTTGATCAACCAAACAGGTTCCCCCATCTCCTTCTCTCCCCCTCAGCTCTCAGGCACCCATCTCTCCTCTCGTCTGCCCAACCTTTCTCTCTGTCCTCCTTAGAGTCAAAACTTGACTATGTAAAGCACAAAAAGAAAATATAGAGGGAGGAGGGATTGTGCCCCCCAGATCCATATACAAAGGGGTCCTCGGTGTGTGAGTCTCTCCTGAACAGATGGGGTGGGGGAGGCCCCTAAGCTGTTGCCATGGCAACATTCCCCATCTCCCTCCAGCCCTGCAAAGGCCTCTCTTTAGGTTTGAAGTCAACACCAGGTAGGGTGACCAGATGTCCCGATTTTATAGGGACAGTTCAGATTTTTGGTTCTTTTTCTTGTATAGGCTCCTATTGCCCCCCACCCCCGTCCCGATTTTTCACACTTGCTGTCTGGTCACCCTAACACCAGGGTGAGTGGGTGGGAACGCAATGGCCAGAGATGGGGCTGTGGACAGACAAAGGGCTGTTTTGTCTCTCCACTGCAACTTCCCTGGCTGGTGCGATGCCCCTTTAAGGGGGTGTTGCTGGGGCAGGCGCAGCTGGGGAGATGCTAATAGAGCTGCGCTGACAGGGACTGGGAGCGAGAGGTGCAGCATTGCAGTGGAAGCGTGGACCCTTCCAGTTCTCCTGGGATCTGAATAGATCCTTGGAGATCCACAGGGTTTCTGGATGGGTTCCACAGCTGATTGCAGGTGGGTGGTAACTGCACCCCTTGGTGGCGGGACAATGTGGCAGGAGATCCTTGTGGTGTTTTTCTCACCATGAGAAACCTCCCATGGGGTATCCTGCAGTAGGGGGGGCATGATCCAGCCAATAATAAGGAACAATCCTGCACAGGGCCCACGGGAATGGATTCCATGACCTGCTAGGTCTTTTCCATCTCTAACTTCTAAGATTCCCAGAGTCTCTATCTCCATCACCCCTCATCCTCTTACCTTGCAAGGACCGGTGTCAAGGTTGGTCTTATTAACATCTTCATTAATGATCTAGAAGAGGCAGTACATGAGGTATTAATAAAATCTGCAGATGATACTAAATGATCTACAGCTCATAGTAAGTTGCGAATGCTAGTGAGGACAGAAAAACAATACAGACGGTACTAGGCCTCATTAAATATATGGGAGTTTTTCTGTTGACTTCAGTGAGCTTTGAATCGGGCCCGTAGCGAGGTTAAAAATATGGTCAGAAAAGAACAACAGGGCATTCAGGCTGGAAAAATACAAGCTCATACACTTGGGGGGAAAATAACACAAAAGACAATGTGATTTTGAGATGAATGCACAGAGGCAGCAAATAGCTGACAGCATCTCCCTGAGCATGGGTGTGGTTCTTCTGGCTAGGCAGCTCCTTCCTTCACTGGATCCTTCAGCCAGCCTTCTCCCTGAGTAACAGCACCTCTTTAAATCTGGTGAACTCGCTGTCCACCTGTGCCTGAAACTGCCCTATACATTCCTTTCCCTTAGAGAGATGCACACTCTCACAAACACACCTTGAACTTGACCTAAAGTAATGCCAACATCCAGGGACATTTAAAAGTAGGTTGGGCAAAACACTAGTAAATGTAGAAGTTCAAGTATCGTACCTTGATGGGGAGCAGGGCTAGATGGCAAGCAGCTAGAAGACCATCTCTGGAATCTAAGACCCAAAGCAAACAGAATGTTCCTTTCTCTCTGTGAGTCCGTTCAATGGTTTGCCCCTGCCCGTCCTTCAGGTCTGGGGGGAGATTTTGGAGCTAGGGCTAGGACTCTTCTGGAAAAGCAATGCGTAAGGGAGTTTTTGAGGGTCTTTTCACCAAGAGACGTAGCCACCTCTGAAGCAGGGAGCTTTGGGGGCATGAGGAGAGCAGTTTTGCTACGGTTAGCAGAAAAGTGAATTGTTTCAATATTCTTCATGTATCCTTATTTCTCTTTCCATTGTGCACAGCAGAAGTACAGACGAATCAAGAGAGCTTCTTGTTCTACTGCTCTTTTAAATCATCCAACGCTGCTCTCAGATATTTTAGATCCACAGCCCTAGACTACTTCCCACCCAATAGCGTTGTTCTTAATCAAGTTTATGATGGTAGTGCCTAGGGATCCACTGAGAATGGGGCCTCATTGTGCTAGGCGCTGCATAAACCCAGAGTAGCAGACAGTCCCTGTCCCAAAGAGCTCACAATCTAAATAGCTGTTAGACATTAGCTAGAGACTAAGCTAATTATTATTCTTATTTATTATTTGTATTATTTTAGCTCCTAGGAGCCCCAGTCATGGACAAGGACCTGGTTGTGCTAGGTGCTCTACAAACACAGGATGGGAAATAGACATATTAATTCAAATGCAAGGCTTCCAAGCAATTAGTCTGCGAAAGCCAGCAGTGGGCTGAATGTCAGTTGCAAGACCTAGGACCATGTACAGATCCTTTTGCGGGTCGGAGACAGTTTAGCAGGGGGTGATGTTGAGAAAGGCGATCATATTTATTAGGCTGATGAATCCTAGAAATGGGGGAGATCTGAGAAACCTCCTAAAAGGTGTTATGAAGTGATGAGGTCAGAGCGCAACGGCCTTCGGAGATTTGCTACAGCCCATTGTAAAGCAAGGGTCCATTTATAAATTGCGGGGGGGGGGGGGGGTTGTATTTCAGCCACTCCCTTCTTTAATTTGGAGGGGAGGGGCTTGGATCCAGGGTTGGGGGGAAGGGGAGATTTGCTTGTTTTGGTTTTGGTTATGGCCCATCTCTAATTACAATAAGATGAGCAGGTTACTGAAAGGTTATAAAGACAAGATTATTTATTATTTGTATTACAGTATGACCAGTGGTCTCAATCAGGGCCCCATTGTGTTAGGCGCTGTGCAAAAACAGAGCACCCTGTCCTGCCCTAAAGAGCTTAAAATTGGAAGGCCCCGATCTTGCAAACACATAGGCACGTGCATAAATTCACTCATGCGAGTAGCCCCATAAAAATCAATGAGGTTCCTCACATGAGTAAATTTATATATGTACTTTAAAGGCTTGCAGGATCAGGGTCTAAGCTGCAAATACCAGTAGGATCAGACCTCTGCTATGGGCCCTTTGGCAATATAGGGACATGCGGAGAAGGTATCCATGGTGGACACTGGTGGGTTAGAAAGGTCATTTACCAGTACTAATTGTCTTTCCTCTTTGTGAAAGTGCAATATCTTTAATCACTGATGCATTTTTTGATCAGAAAAGATCTGTATTTTGATTGCAGTCTTACTGGCTGATTGGAACGTCTCTGAAGCGTTAAGGAATTTTGAAGGGGAGTTGTAATGCTGATCAACAATTCTTAATGTAACTCTGAAGCTGTGACTATGTTGTGGGGTTTTTTGTTTTTCTTTTTCCTTTTGTAAAGTTTGATGCTTCCCAAACTCATCGGGAAGGTCCCCATGAAAACAGACACTTATTTGTAAGGGGGGGGAGGGGGCAATGAACAAGCTGTAATTATTTAAAGATGTAAAAAAATATATATTATGAATTAGTATGGCTACCAATCCACATAACTTCTACACCTTTCAAACTAATGGAAATAAAACAATGGTAATAAAAATTATAATAATAAAGCTTCTTTCTTACGGGAATTTGCACGCTGAGTTCTTGCAATGAATTGATTGGAAATATATATAAGTGTACAGATGCTGTAGAGTGTCAGTGACCTATTAGCCTGAGCCTGGCATGTCTTGTGAAAAATAATAGTATGTGATCATGTAAGACTGCAACATAATGCGTATGTACAAGGGGGTTGAATTATGGTTCTGACATTTCCTAACTGTTGAGTGCTTGACTTTGCAACCTTAACGGTCTTTCAAATTTTTCTTAGTATACTATTGATTTAGTTTAGGCTGACCAGGAACTGCTTTAAATTAAACTGAAGTAAACAACTTTTAAACCAAAGGATTTAACAAGGCTGCACACGTGTTTGAGCACCTGAGCAGTTCTTGGGAACTCAATGGGCTACTCACATGCCCAAAGTGAAGCCTCTGTGTGAGTCTTTGTAGGATCAGGGCCTTTTGGTCTGGTGCCAAGTATCAGAGCGGTAGCTGTGTTAGTCTGTATCCACAAAAACAACGAGGAGTCCGGTGGCACCTTAAAGACTAACAGGTTTTTTACCCACGAAAGCTTAGGCCCAAATAAATCTGTTAGTCTTTAAGGTGCCACCGGACTCCTTGTTGTTTTTATTCCGGTGACACCAGGCCTGTGTAACCCCCAGGTTTTGGCTGGAGGCACAAGTTTCCAGACCTGTACTCTCCCCAGCTGAGCCTCAGGATTGTGGTCAGCTGCTGCGGTGGGTGTGGCCAGTGTGTGAAATCCCACCCTTCCTTCACCACCCAGCCAATCAGGCTGCCTCTCTACATTTAGCTCCTCCCCTCCCCAATGATGATGGGCTGGAGCGGGGGCAGTGGTGAGCAGCTGGCAGGGAGAAGACTGGTTGAGCCATAGCGATGGTACTGCAGCTACTGAGCAAGGAGCCCAAACCAGTCTCTGAGGCACAGAGGAGGGATGGGGGTAGGGAGAAAGAAGAGGAAGGGAACTGATGGGATGAGGAAGCTGGGGGAAGAGGAGGAGGGGGGCTGGGAGAGGATGAGGAAAGGGGAGTATGGGC